GTTTTTTTGGAAAATTGGAAACAATAAAGTCATGAATGTAACCATATAAGTATTCTTGGAAAATCGAAATACTAGGATTAGTTTCTGGAAAATAAAAGTTTTTCATGATTTCATAAATCGCAAACTATTTTCCAGGTTTCTTCTTTCGCTTGCTTATTTTGTTACTTTTAATATTCTGTTGTTTACTTTAGCCAATAAGTTAAAGAAAACTATACAATGAACAAGAACAACGGACATAGTAGTATGAGGACTGGTATAACTAGACCTGTGAGCTGTGCTGCTGCCCCCGCTGCTGATGGATAATTAAGGTTTTTGACGACTCTCCGTCGCTGTCGATGGTAAAAATACAAACTTGTTTTAGTCTCCGTCGACAGAAAAAGTTTTAGAATAAAAAAGTCATGAGAAAGTAGCAAAACAGGAAGTTCTAACTAGCCACATTCACAACGTGAAGAGGCAGCTAGGTCTGACTGTCGTATACGGACGCATATGTACCATCATATACGTTGTTTCTATACGGCCAGTTTATGAGCGTTCTGACAACTAGAGATAGGCCCGTCTTCAGCTTGTGAATATGATCCATTGCTTAATCGAAAAAAATCACTGGTGCAATACGCCTCTGCCATCTATATCTACAGAGGCATTATCTATATAAGATGAGAATTCTAATTAGTCCAAATTAAACTGAAATTGAAAAATGGGGTTTTCTTAACTCCCACCGTCGATTGAACAATTCTTTTTAGCCACCGATCAAAAAACTTTTGTTACACGCCGCCACTGATTTTGCGACCAGCGCACAGGCCTAGGTATGACAGTCTACTAAATACGAAAAAATAATGCAACCACGTGCAAAAAATTGATTCATACCACGTCAGAAAGCCCGCTTTTTCTGTGATATAATCCAAAAGACGTTTAAAAATTCCATTTTACTGCATCTACTTAGCTTTTATTAGAGTCTCTGTTCAAGGATGGTGTTTTTGCTGGAATAAACGTAAGGTCTGTTGAACTATCACACTATGTAGGATAGAAATGTGCCATGTGGCTGTGCATTACACATACTAAGTACTGTTAAGAGCGAAAAAGCGGCATCTTAATAGGCAAATCAAGTCAAAATGTTCAAAGCAGACAGATCACTCTGTTATTCAATGCTTTTATGTTTTGAACAATGAAGAGGTAGGCATTGACGATGACAAATAGAGGTGAACATCCCTCAAATTTCAAATTAAATTTTCCACAATTACATTAAGTTAACCCATAAGAAACAAAGCAAATAAATCTGTACATTAATGGTCAACCTTCACTTAACTTCCAGCCTCTATATAACTTTTTATTCTTTGTTATAACAGACAAGAAACCGGGTTGTTAGTAATCACTTGCATGTACTTAATACTAAAGTAAGATGTTAGCAGTTCATCAGCCAAGTGTTACAATGACCGTTTCGGAACATGTTATGGCCATAGCTGCCACCTTGTCCGGATTTACTGGACAAATTCCGGTTTTTTGAGTTTTTTTCGGAATTTGTCTGGTGTCCGGGATTTGTTCGGATTTTGAGAATGTTCTGCTTTTGGCTGTTTTTCCCTGATCATGAAGATTTTTAAGTATTTTTTTTATTTATAGTTTGTCGAGGTTGCCTTTCTCATATTATAGGCCAGCTAAGATGCCAGTTACTTTTCGGGTCAAAAAATATACATTTAAAAAGCAGCGTGTCGATTAAAATCGAAATTTATATTTGTTTGTTATTTTCTTGTATTTTATCGAGTAAAATCATATAGAGTTAGAGAAGAAACCTTTTTCTGGCACTCTGAGCAGTAGAAGAAGATTAAATAAAGCAGTAAAAATGGGTTTCCGTTTTTTTGGATCTTGAAAAAAAAATTCCGGATTTTACGGTTATGATTCCGGATTTCTGACTTGTACAGGTGGCAACTCTGGTTATGATCCGGGAGCTTGTTTCTCAAAAAAACTTAAGTTTTGCTTAAGTGAAAAATTTGACTTAAGTAAGATGTTTCTACTAAGTGACTTTCTCGAAAGCATTTTACCCTAATGGACCTCTCGACCACCCTTAAGTTTTCACTTAATTTTCTAAGAAAAAAATTATTTATAATTTGTAACCTCTTTACTTTACGTTCACATTGCTTGTCCACATTTTTACCCATTTTCTAAACCATTTTACCTATTCACACGTAAGTGATTACTAACAACTCGGTTTCTAGTTTATTATCACCAGTTAATATTCCGATTAGCTGAATCCTATTTCCTATATTTATAACGTCCAGTTTTGAATCTCGTCGACAATCAGCTCTGTGTGAAAAGCTGAATTAGCTATGTAGTTTTATCAGGACTCAGGCAGAGTTGGAATCAAGTGAGCTGCGAAAAAACTGCAAATTATTTTCCACACAAAGATTTTCGTAGCCGTTTTCCGGAGAAACACTAAATATTGATCCAAAATTGCAAAAAATGTATTTAATCTACGTAATTTTTTTTTTTTTTTTTAAGATGATACTTTGTAGAAGGTTAAAACCTCATTTTTATTTTAACCAGACAGGCAGCGTGGCCGAGCGATCTAAGGCACCGGTCCGAAAGGGCGTGGGTTCGAATTCCACCGCTGTCACATATTTTTATTAACATATGTACATTATCTCACCTACAACTACATGCTTTATCGTTAGAACAAGAAAACATTATGATTAGGTGAGATTATTTATTCTTTTACTTAAAGATCAACCAGTCACATGTCAACTTCGTCTCATTGTTTATTTGAAGCTATAGTGAGGGAGTCTAGTACAATAAATTTGCTTACTCATTTGATACGTACGTACATGTTTTATTGTACAGTTCCTTTGGCTAGTTAGTTCGCGTAGCTTTCCGCAAGCTAGTCCGTAGTTAGTGAGTGTCTATGAACTCAAGTAATTGGGTGAAAGAGCTCTGCGTCGGGCTAGGTATGCATCAGTTACGAACCAGTTGCTTCCGACTGCTTTTTTGGACATCCAGGAAAATTGTTATAACGCTTTTAATCGTAAAGACGTGTGGTACGGCTCGTTTTGTAGAGAAATGTTTGTTTCATGTATTTGTACGAAGGATAAAGTTAAAGGCTGAAAAAGAGAAGGAATTACTGATGAGGTACGCACAGTTATGTAACTGGTGACCAGTTATCACGTACAGTTATGCCATTTAAGAATGCTCATATTTTTGTTACAATGAATTTTTTGTAAAATTCTAACAATATGTCACAATGTTGCACAATTTCTCAGTTTATAAGATGAAAGAAAATAGGTAATATAATACTGCTGTAAGTAACATGTTTACGCTATCAAAACGTAAAACAATTTTTGCACAAGCTTTTTTTGTTACGTTTTAATAAAGTAAACATGTTACTTACAGCAATATCATATTACTTATTTTCTTCCATTTGCCGAGTGCTATATCATTATGTGGCTTGTAAGATTGTGCAAATTGTGAGAATTTTGCTCACCAAATTAGTTGAAAGCCGAATAAATGTGTGGAACGACGGTTCTTTCCGTTTTACCCTTTGTATTAGTTTCGTTACTCTTTCTAGTTCACTTGACATGCCTTTAATTTGTATTTGACTTGTCTCGATAATAGAATGAGCAATCATAATATCGACCATTGAGTTTCTAGATTAATATTGTTGACAGGGTTGCCAACTCGAAACCCTTGGAGTTTGGAAAAAATACTAGGAACCTCAGAAAATTGCGATTCTCATGGAACTTCTATAGGGTTCCTTCCCCACCCTACATTCTGACACTGTCCGCCAGATTTTTGAAACTTTTGTTCTGCCTAGAATTTGTTCAACCATTTTCTGAACACAACACATGTCGTGATTACCTTGCAAGTATTTGAACTGATAAACTGTAAGAGACCGACAGCCATTATTAACAGCTACAAACTACCTGTCAAAATAAGTGGCAGATAGTCCTTTAAAATAGAAGGACAATTTAAAGTGGAAATTTTCCAGAAGCTGTTAATTTTGTTATAAAAGATTTTATTTCTCATCCAGAGCGAGGCAAAGAACCAAGTATATCGTTATTTCTGGAAGATGATGAAGTGAGAAATTCTTATTCGTAACGAACCCAAAAAGATCCGAAACAAAAATTTCAAGAAGGCTTTAGATTTCTGGCCTATTCCCATGTTGCAAACGAATGTAAACTTCCATATTCCTACGAACATTTAGATACACGTACCGTTTCTGCTAGTATATTTTATATCTAGGTTCATAGGCTCTTGGGTTCTTGAAAACGAACCTAAAACTTTAGGTTCGTACTACGTTCTTAGATTTGTACGAACTTTTGTATACAAGAACCTTTTCTCCTAGTATATTCTATATCTAGGTTCTTGGGTTCTTGCATGTTGAAAACGAACCTAAGCATTTTAGGTTCGTACTAACGTTTCAGGTTCGTGCAAGAATCCAAGAACGTAAAAACCTAGTTATAAAATATACTAGGATAAAAGGTTCTTGTATATAAATATTTGTACGAATCTAAAACGTTAGTACGAACCTAAAATTTTTAGGTTCGTTTTCAGCGTGCATGAACGCCGGAACCTAGAAACCTAGATGAAATATATTTTATCTCGGAAAGTTTAGGTTCGTCATGGACGGCGAAAGTAGTGAGAATTTTAGAGTCGTTACGAAGAAGAATTCCTCATCGTATGTGCAAGATACGACTTGCACATACTAGAGGGAAGAATATAAAATTTCCTACACGTATTTAAATTAGAATTCTGAAAATAATCCTGAATTCCGAGTATTTTCTACTTTTCTCTGCACAGAAAACGAAATACAAAAATCACCACGGATAAAACTTTAGGTAAATGTCTTAGCTTTATAATCAAAAAATGAACACTCTGCTCTGCATAGTTCTATGTCTGGTAAACGAATAACCTTAAAAATTTTAACTGAAACTTTCAATTTAGAAAGAGGTGCTTTTTAGGCTTTTCAAAAAAAATTTTAAAAACCTTCAAAAATATTGCATTTTTGGCAGATTGAGATGGATCCTGAAACACGACAGTTTGGGATACTTAAACATATGCTTACTTCAGTTTCGAAGTTTCGAGGAATAAATCGAATTTCTGGGAGGTCCCTTAAGGTAAGAGATGTATTTAGTAAGGAATGGAGATCTTTAAATCATTCTCATTATTTTATAAATGAGATTTAAGAGGATATTCACAGCTAAAGTTCGATGGTATGTTTTTCCTATACTTTTACTAAATTATATACAATATTTTCTCTCTAATTGTTATCGTTAATTATAGATTGAACATGAGTTCTTGACCTTTTACAAACTAGTTATTGATTCTATCATGCTCTGAAAGATAAATTTATATAATAAGACATTACATCGTCCACAAATACCTTTATTTTCATGTACATTCTCCATAGTTGCCAAAAAAGAACAAATTTATCACAGTGTGAACTAATGATGTACTTCATTCGTCTTTCTTCAGTAAGAAATGTATACTTTTTTCTGACATGTACAAACGAATAATTGTGCCGAGCAAGTGTTCTTGTTCGCAATTTTTATCCTGTTTTTTTTACTACAAGACATAAATGAGAGAGAAAATTTGTTTTATGTAGTGAAAATTCTTTTGAATTTTACTTGCTATGATAATATTCAATCAACAAAATTACTTGTAATAGATCAACATCAACAGTTAGTATTTATTTCAATCATTCAAATAATGTTGATGTTGATCTTTTACAAGTAATTTTGTCGTTTCTGAAGTTGTACAGTTGGAAATCAGAAGTCAATATTACTCCCACTTTCTTGAAAAACTTGATACTTCTTCCCGTAGGTAATCAGCATGAATATTTTTGTTTAGAATAACGAAACAAAAACCGTTGCTATCTTATTTCTTCAATAGTTCTATCCCCATACTAACAAGATGTCGATAATAAATAAATAATAACAATTTCTGTATATTTCTTCTACGAAAAAAAACTATGTTTATAAACCCTTAATATGACACTAGGAAAAGAACTTTTCTTCTATTACATGTTAGATTTCTATTTTTCTCAATATATGTATAGATATGTATCACACAAAAACAAAATTTATCTTATCTACTGTGAGTACTACGTTGTTGAGAAAATTTATCAAGGACATTGTATTTATTGTGAGTTTTCCATGTCTTAAATACTAATCTTGTTTGTGCACAAATCCTTTTTTTTTCTCTGACTTTATAAAGAGAGATAGGGCACGTTATAAAACTAAGATGTGCTTTATTACCATATTTATCCTCTTGTTTCTTTGTATTTTAATAAAAGTGTGTCTATAATATTTATGCTTTTTCATAGCATTTGTTCTCATGAAAACACAATGATTTTGAATCGAAATTTTCACGCACTTCTAGTTCTGCGCAGTAATATGAAATTTATTTATCTACCTATATTCCTCATGGAGAAATTTTGTCGAAGTTTCATGACGTTGGAATCGTGCAGTTGCAACATCAAATGCGTGGTCATATGTAAACTTTCTATAATTTCACACGCGTTCACAAGCAAGAATTTCTTTTCACCTGTGTCCACACACCGCTTTACGACTTTCATTAGTGACCACGTGCGAAAAATATGACGCGAAAAGTGTCTGTGTGCAGATCACGTGTTGTCATACACGTGGAATATATTTTTTATGCAACAATTTACGATGTTCACATGCGATTCACGATATATATGGATGTACACGCCATTTTATATACTAAAATTTCTCCATGAGTAATGACTTCTATAGTCTTCAGAACCTACTAATAAACCAATTTTTGTTTATGTGAAAACTTTCGATTCTGATAGTCTTAAAACTTCATAAAAGACAATCTTTGTATATTACTTTGTTATTTGTAGCTGATAAGCGTGCGTGATTGCACACGAAAAAAGCAGGAAGTCGATAATTTACATAGACGTTTTAAGCTAAGTAGAAAAAGATCTCTGTGTTCTTATTAATCTTAGTTGATACTAAATATGAAAAGAACGATTTGACAATACGTCGGAGAAAAATAGAAAGGTTATGGTATTCTGACTGAAAGATTTTTTCTGTATAAATATAATTTTTATTATTAGCAGCTGTTTGTATAGACGTGAACAAGAGTAGAATGTTCTTCCCGATATCTTTTCGTGCTTTAGTTTCTTCATCTTGAATGGAAAACTGGTTGAATTGAAATGCTGGAATGGCTTCTATTTTTCAACAAAATTTAAGTCGTTATAGTGAGATATGTTGTGCGTGGTTTTTCTGTGAAGAGGAAGAGAAGCACACTCTATGAATCATTGTGTGTTAGACGTTTATGTAACCAGAACGGTAACTGTGGCTGATAAAGACAGAATATATGTTATTTTCATGTTTTTTTGCCTACTCACATACGATGTTTTTGTTTTTAGAGATATTATTAAATAAAAAAATTCTAAAAATTAGGACGCAAAAAAACTTCTTTTCTTTATTATCTTTATATTGTTGTTCTTTTCATTTTTTATGACAGATATCTTCTATTCGGGCACTGTGATCATCTACTGTCTATTATTTTTAATGTTTTGTTTTGTTATCATAAGTTATTTTTCCATCGGCATGTGTATATATGTTTCTATTTACCCAAACAACTGTTTGTATGTAGGTTTATTTTTTTTTTGCTTGTTCTTTTGTCAGAAAACGATGTTATTTAGACTGACATTTACTTTTTCATTATCAAGAATCATAAAACAACAGAGTGTACACGTGTTGTGAAAGCAACAATGTCTGTCCGCACAAATCTTTTATTTTTATTTTTATTTTTCAGGATATAAATGAAAGTAAATTAAGAGAAGAAGTTTGAACTAAATCTAATCACTTGACGAGATAGACATTGCTTGAGAATCTACCCTTCTGATTCGATCTTTATTAATAAAAACCGTTCATTCTATCTTTTTTATTCACTCTTCCTTTGTTTTATTTTAGATCTATCTATCTCTCTCTCTCTCCTTCTCTCCTATATATAGATATATGCATATATATTTTTATAAAAAAAAAACTCTTTTCTCTATACTTTTTTCTGCTCTCAGAGGCAACCGGTTTATGTGACCTTGTATTATGCTATATAATAAAAAAAGAAAGCTATAGAAAAAAAAAAGCAAGAAAAAGTTCTCTTTTTTACGAACAGAACAAACACAACAACAACGACACAATGAAGATGGAATAAGAAGAAGAACCGACTTATTATTGAGTTATTTTCGAAATACATATATTTATATACTCTCTCTCTCTATATATATATATATATTGACGAAGTGTTCTGCAAAAAGTTATTGAATTGAATCGTATTCATAGAAGGTGTCAAATTTAACGGTGACATGATGCTTTCTACATTGAAAACAATATTTATTGACGATCTGGATGATAATACAACATTATTGTGTCGGACGAATAATGAAAATGATTTATTAACAAATAATTTTGATGAAGACGAAGATTTTAATGATCAGGTAATTTTATTTTAGTAAAATTAGTTAGATAAATATTAGCATTTAACACCAGATAGATTTTTGAAAACTAAAATAGATGTTGATAAATATACATTTACTCATTTTAACTGTTTTTACCGTATGAAGATTTCCATTATTCCACTTTTATTTGACTAGTGTGTCTAGTAAAAATAGGTTTATGATCAACGCATGTTAGCAATGATGGCAAGGTGACCTTTAAGATTTTGTTCTTCTATTTTCTCTCCTTCATGTTGTTTCTATTTGTTGAAAAAGGAATTTATCATCATACTTCTCCGAAATAACAATGTAATAATAAATATATGTTGTAAATATATATTTTTTTGTTTTTCTCTAACATTATAAATAACATTAGATAGAAATATATCATATGATGTCGACAGCTGTTTGTCTTGAAGTAGAAAAATATTTTAGAAACAAGGAATAAACTTTTCAATTTGTAGTTTGTACAGACAAAATAATTAACTTATAAAAAAAAAATAAAAAATTGGTATGTGTTTTCTTTTTCTTTTTGTTATTTCTCTTTTTATAGAGAAGAAATTTGAAACTACGCTAATGATAATAAACGTTGTGTTTTTCATTTGATAAAAATAACAGATGAACTGAGTTTATTGTACATAAAGCAGAAATAGTAACTCCACAACGATAAACGTATGAGAGATTTTTAATCGATTTGTTTCTGTTGTGAAACCAAATAAACTTGTTTAAACTAAAATAATGCTGTCTTAGTTACATGGAGCTAAAATCTAAAGGTTAAAAAGTGTTTAATAATGATATTTTTGGTGCGACTTTTGATATTGTCGATACACAACTAAAAGAAATTCAAATAATAAAGACCTCGAGACATCAGTTCAATTGTTTATTTTATTTTCTAACAGGCTTGGTTTTTCATGTGCGATATAAAGT